CAAATTGCAAAGGAAAGTCTCACTATGTATTAAATTCTTCAGATTAAGAAAAACACCTAATAATCCATGCTTATTGCAAACCCAAGTATCGAGTAATCCTCTTTCTAGTTTTCCTCACAATCCAAAAATTATATTTGTAATGCCATTGAGATGTTATTGGAATCCCAGCAGGTTAATTCCAATCTACCATCACCAGTGCAATCCATGGTGAGAGTAAAGACACAAGACATATTCCAAGATAAGGGCAGCCAAGGGGTCCTAAGTCCAATGCTTGTGAGGACGTGCAGACAAAAGCCTGGATCCTAGACCTCTCCCAGCATTTATCTTGTATAGAAAGGGGTGTAGCTCAGAGATGAATGATAGTGAGGATGTCCGGGATTACTGAGTAACTTGAGCTGGCTAGCCAGGTATAAGAATGGTATCTCTGTAATTTACAGAGATAAAGATATGCAGAAGAATCAATTTATATAACCCAATTAAGGTAGCAGTGGAATTGTTTTGGGGGGCTATCACTTCTTATCTTGAGGCTCATACCCAGTTGACATTCCTGGAGCTATTTGCTCTAACATCTCTTGTGCTCAATATTGTATTGTGGAGAACACTATGTGAGGAAACAGGACCGTCTGATGGCTATAGATTTTGCACATTAGCACCTGAGCTAGCCTTATTTGCAATGCTCAGAGCCAATTGAAGAGAGAAGGAAATATCCTAGCCAGCCTTTTACATATCAGTATAAGGAAATGAGTCTCCAAGTAATCAAAGTCACAGCAATTGTTTTGGATTCAAAGGGGGTCACTGGAGTTGTCTCCCACACATGCTTCAAAAATACTACTGACACAGCTGTGTTCAGCACAACAGACTTGACTGCGGCAGTGGACAGAGGCCAGCCTTTCACAGTTACATGGTGCTCAGTGCCTGAGGAGTGAAATCTGGTGCTCTGTGCCATATATGGACAAACTGAATCTTGCAGAGATAAGGAAATTTGCAGAAAAGAAATTGCTTGCACTAGCACGACAGAGCTAGATTGGAATCTGGATCTTCCAAACTAATGACTTCTGCTTCCCAAGTGCTTCTGCCACTTGACCATGCTGAGTAAGAAGAGATCCCTTTGGGGCTGGGAATTTAGCTCAACGGCATAAGCGCCTGCCTTGCAAGTGTACGTTTGTGAGTTCGATCCCTGGTACCGACAAAAACGAAAAAGACAAAAAAAAAAAAAAAAAAAAAGAGGTCCCTTTCACTGTACCTAGTTAAGTAAACAAAACAGGTGATTAGATCAAATATCAAGAACAGTTTCATTACTCATTCAATACTTATTGAGCAACCAGGGCGTGTGGCTAATGAGGAAAAAGCTAAAGAAAAATTAGACCTTTGTCCTTGAGAGAAATCAAAATAGGCCACTCCAAAATACATTTCCTTAGCATATTGCAAGTCGTCTGTTCAGAGAAACTACAGACCTCTGCAGACATGGGAATGGCTCTGAAAAGTCTTCCTTCTGTAAAAAGAACTTCGCATGCATCAGTAAAGAGCATGGCAGATAAAAGATTTCCAACATGACACCCCTCCTGCTCTCCACCTAGGAAAGATCTTTTCACAGGAAAAAGAGACTAGGGATCTGACATCGGGCTCAAAGATGGTCTTAGGATGACTGTTACCTGTGAGACAGTATCTGTATGATAAGAAAAACTGATTTTTTAGACTGGGGATTGAACCCAGGGCTTCACACTAAGCTACATCCACAGTCCTTTATTTTTGATTTTTAAGACAGTGTCTCACTCAGTTGCCTGGGGTGGGCTCAAACTTATGTTCTTGCCTCAGCCACTGAGAATGGTGGTATTACAAGGAGGCACCACTGCACCCAGGGATGAAACAACCTTCATTTCTTACCCTGGCTTCTCAGCTCAGCTAAACAGCTTAGATTCAGCTGGTGACATGGAATTAATGTGGATGGCTTTCTTTTGAGTTTTAGCCTGTTCTGTTAGGACTCAGTGCAGGTGCTTCATCCAAGACAATGGCTCCCCATATTTGTCATTTAACATATCTAGCAGAGAGAGAAAACTTTAAACTTCTATAAGAGATTAGTTTGTAAGAAAGCAGGGTTAAGCTAGAAACACAAAGTTCTGGGGTTCAACTCAGCACCATGGTGGAGGGAAATGGGGGTCAGGCTGTGAGCAGAAAAAATACTCAGGACTCTTACAAAGTGATAACCATCTCTTATAAACTCTGAGCTAAATGCTATTTAAGGGAAATGCAAATCAAAGTTATGTAGAAATACCATCTCAGTCCAGCCAGAATGACTGGGCGAATACAAAAAAATAAATGCTGGCAACGATAGGGAGGGGAATAGGGATAAGTTGGGACAGCCACTATGCTCGTCACGACGCAAGTTCTCAAAAAACTACAAATAGAGTTACCAGTTGATCCAGTTACACCACTCCTTGGGCTAGGAGTGTGGCTAGTTATGTGCAAGGTCATGGGTTCAATTCCTAGCACCCAAACCAAACCAAACCAAAACCAAACACTCCTTGGTATATGCCTGAAAAATTATAGTCAGCATAGTACAGAAATAGTTGCATACCTATATTTATTGCTGTATAATTTATAGCAGACAAGATATGGAACCAACCTGGATGCCCATCAGCAAGTGAATGGAAAAAGAAAATGTGGCATACATACATAATTTAGTATTAAGCCATAAGGAAAACTGAAATTCTGTCATTTGCAAGAAAAATGGGTGAATCTGGGGACCATTTTGTTGAAATAAGCCGGATTCAGGAAAACAAATTTTTAATTTCTCCCTCATACATTAAATTTTTAAAAATGACAACGAAACACTGCCAGACTCAGCGTGGTGCCTGCCCAACACGGCGCTAGACGGCGCCTGCCTTCAACACTGACTTCAGCGTTCTTCTTCCAAACTCAGAAATAGAACTCCCCACCTTTCAGGCACCAACATTCCGCCAATCAGCTGTCAAAACGTCACTCTTCCCGCCCCTTCAAACTCCACCCCCTGGCAAACTGAATAAAAGATCTCTGCTTCTTTGTCTGCCCCAAGGGGATCTTGCCCTCTACTGCGGCCCTCCCACCTCCACAATAAAGACCTTTTTCTTTTTTCCTTGCTTTGCTCTTGCTTTCCAACCTCACTGAGGAAAGACCTATCAATGACAAGTACAGGAGTAACTATTATTAGACAAAAAGCAGGGAATAAAAGAGAGGCAGAGGGGTGTAAGGCTGGGTAATGGGGGATGGATATGAAAAAATTATACACATTGAAGACCCCTCCCCCCAAGATGTGAAACTAGCGGGGAGGACTGGGGATGAGGTAACAGAAAGGGGTGAAAAGCCGGGCGTGATAGCACACTCTTGGAATCCCAGCACTTGGAAGGTTGAGGGAGGAGGATCGTTTACAGCTTTGAGATCACTTTGTGCTACAAAGTGAGCCCAAGGCCCCCCTGAACTACACAGCAAGACCCTGTCTCAAAAAGAAAAAAAAAAAAACCAGGACGGGGTGAAAGTGATCAAATTATTTCATGTGCATGCACAAATCTGCCAGAATGAAGACCATTTATCCCTACAATCAATAAAAAAGAGTGAAAATAATAACAAAAATCCCATTTCATATTTTAATGTCTCTAGAAGCATTTAAAATCAATTGAATAGTAACGTTGGTAGTATTTGGGGTTTTTTTTCTTGGCAGTACATAAAATAACAGCGCCTCTTACAATCCATGACATTTTAGAGTCAAGGAAGCATGAAATAATTAAGAGGCAATTTATTTTACAGCAATGAACAAGCAGTTTTTTGACAGAAAGTAAATCTTTTTTATGCACAGTTAATAAAGTTAATATGTTTCCATAAAACTAGAGGTCAGCAGTACCACCATTATTGATCGTCTCTGCCTGGCACAGGCTCAACAGACAGATGGAAGGAGATCCCTCGGATTGGTTCAGAGGCCTCCACAAATCACACTAGTCATTCAGTTACCAATTGCATGTGACAACCATGTTTGTATCACTAATCAGTGGGTTAAAAGTGCATAGATAAAAGTCACATGGGCAAATACTGAGACAAAGGGGACATACAGTGTCCACAGATGCAGAGATTGAAATGTGCTTTCAAGGAAGCAGACACCCAGAGATGAGTGGGAAAGGACGCTGCCCAGGTTGAAGGAGCCATGTGGCACAGAGGGGAACAAACAAGCAAAGAATATTTGGAAAGCAGTGCAAATGCAGAAGTAAAGATCAGTCTGTTGAAGCTCAGCATGACAGAGTGAGCTCAAAACATTATGGACATTGACACCACGAGCATGAGTTCAAATCCTGAACAAATCACACCCTGGTTGTAAGAAGTTATTTAATTTTGAGTGTCCGTTTCTTCCTTTATAGTTTATAAAATACTACTTTCTTAGTGGTGTGAACTTGGACAGGAGTAGAAAATAATAGTAATACAATTGGCTAGCAGGTTATGCATAGGAATGAATGAGCAAAGCTATGGATTGGAAGGATGGTGGAATCTGTGGTTAAAATCGATAAATAGCACGCCTGCAAACCCAGCACTTAGGAGACTGAGGCAGGAAGATCGCTAAAGTTCAAGGCCACCCTAGTGAGTGGGTTAAAAGTGCATAGATAAAAGTCACATGGGCAAATACTGAGACAAAGGGGACATACAGTGTCCACAGATGCAGAGATTGAAATGTGCTTTCAAGGAAACAGACACCCAGAGATGAGTGGGAAAGCTGAGTGGAATGTGAGTAGGAAAGTGAGTGCAGAGCTACATTGTGAGGCTCTGTTTCAAAAAAAAAAAAAAAAAAAAGGATTGTAGGAAAACAAACATCAGGAAACTAGTTAAGAGACTTTTTCAACCTTGTAAAGGAGCGTTAACACTCTGGGAACCAATGGGGCAGGCGCGGCCACGCCCACGGCTCCACCCACAGCGTCGGAGCTGCGCGGTGGTGCGCCCGCCGCGTCCAACCCGCTTCAGCGCAGTCCCTGTGGGCGGGGCCTCCGCGGGCCCTCGGGTCCTCTCGGGTCCCAAGCAGCCCCGCTCTCCCGCTCTCCCGTACCCGGAGTCCGTCCGCGGTGTGTTGCGATCGCCACGGCAACATGTTGGGCATGATCAGGAACTCGCTGTTCGGGAGCGTGGAGACGTGGCCGTGGCAGGTCCTGAGCTCCGGGGGCAAGGTAGGCCCGCGGGGCGCGGAGGTCCAGTCTCACCTCCAAGCTCGTCCTCACCCTGGTCGGGCCGGAGCGGGTTCTGAGGGAAAGGCTGGCTGGGCGGAAACTTCTGCGGAGCCCTCGGCCCTCTGCAGCCATCCTGTGGAGCTGGGAAGGAGGGGAATGGTGCAGCCAGAGGACCGGGCCGAGGAGCGGTTGATTCCGGGAGAGGATCCGTCGGGACCAGTCGGACTCTGCCTGTTGAATGCAGTCTCTTAAGCAAAATTGGGTTTGTTTTTTGTTTGTTGAGAAACACTGTTACAGAAACGACTGACAGAGCCCTAGCTGGCAATAAACAAACTAACAAACCTCCCAGATACTGGAGAACTGACATTAAAAAACAGGGGCTGGGCCCCCTGGACCTGGGCTGGGTGGGGCCGGGGAAAGGAACAAGCAAGAAGAGTGAGGGAGCCTTCATCAGAGGAGGGCCCTGAGCTAGGCCTCGGGGTGTGCAGGAGCCCAGTGTACAGCAAACAGGACGTGCAAAGTCCCAGGACCGCAGTTCCCTTTGGCCAGTAGCATTGCTAGAGTGAGTGAAGAGGGATAATTGCTGGATTTCTCCATCAGAGCTAATAAGGGCAAATGGGGCTGCCGCCTTGAGCACAAGCAGGCGGCCATCTATTATCTTCTCCCTGCAGACAGGTGTTTTGTACAGTGAGGCCAGCACACTGCCTCTCATTTGTGAAAAGCCCATGTCACCTGGGCACCAAGTTCTGGAACTTAGTACAATGAGTATCACACAAAAGCCCTTGGGTGCATGCTGTACTCTTCCACCAAACAGCAGCTGGTCATTCATCTGTCCCTGTTTCCCCAGCTGTATGTGAAATGAGCCACCTAAGTCCTGTCGAGGGTGATATATTCAGTGCCCACAACAACCAGGCAGATAATGGAAACGATTGAAGCTAGCAGTTCTGGATTACAGGGCATGGGGACTGGGCTAACTGGAGAGAGAGCAACAGGTCCCCTCCATAAAGGTGACTCCCACCGGTCACTGTCCTGGATTGACATCACCCACCAGCCAGGGTTGCCAGATTAGTACTGAAGCTAAGTATCCAAATTCTTGTTGTGAAATTTCCCAATTTAAAATTAACCCAACAAAGAGCCATTTTTTGAGTGCCAAATACTGGGCTAGATATTCTTCTAGGCAGTGGAGATAAAGAGTGGACAAAACCAACAGATCTCTGCCTTCACATAGCTTATGTTTTAGTGGCTAATGGACAAAGAAATAATGTGTCATGTGGTGGTGGTGAATAGTAAGTGCTGGGAAGAAAAGCAGGTAAGGCTGGAGACGTAGCTTGGAGGTGCATTTAATGTGTGCAAAGCTCTAGATTCAGCACAATTTTTTTTAAAAAGGCAAACAGGAAATGAATAAGTAAGGTATAGGAACATTAGGCATGAGGCTCTGGCTTTTGAGCAGGAGGTCAATGGCCAAAGTTGTTGGCCACTGACTGAAGACTCTCGTGAGCACTGGCCTGGTGCAGGCTGACAGGGTTCTGACAAAGCACGTTATCAGCAGCTGCAGGCTCAGTTGGCCTCCTGGGGTTAGTAGTGACCCAAGAGTCCACATGGAAGGCTCTGGCTGTTGCTGTCTGTCTCTGTGCAGTCAAGGCTGATCCCTGCCTTGGTTTCCCAGGCTCAGGGGCAGCACTAGTCAAGAGACAGAAAGAAGGGAGAAACCAGGGTATTTCTCCCTCTTTCTGCCCCTCTGTCAGATCTCTTACCATGAGGAACTTCAGAACTTTGCCTTCTGTACAAATCTGTATGGTTCTAGCTTTTACAAGAATGCAAAATATTTAGCCCAAAGGAATCTGTTTCTGCAGCTGTGGAATGGGTATAAAAATATCAAACATTTTTAGTTCTTGGGATGAAAATGTTTTATAAACCTATGCTACATTCTACATACATAGTGATTATGTCAGAACTCTCAGCTCCACTTTTAATTAGCTGTGTAGCCTCAGACAACTCAATCTCTCTGAAGCAGTTCATGACAGAAAGTAGTAGTTCATGCTTTTGAAGACTGTTACAAATGTTTTGGAGTTTGAGTGCGATGGCTACAAAAATTGTTCAGTCCGCACCAAGCAGTTCATTGGGTGCAGTAGCTACTGACTTCCCCTTAGTCTTAGTGATAGTTGCAGACAAGTTACTTAACATCTCAGCTACTCTGAACCCTCAGATTCCTCAACTCCAAGACAAGAGTGACAATGCCAGTGAAACAATCAGATCTTCAAAGGTATACATAATGTTTTTTAAATATACAAAGTCAGCCAGGTGTGGTAGTACCTGCGTGTAATCCCAGCACTCGAGAGGCTGAGCAGGAGGATCGCCGTGAATTCAAGCCTGGCCTAGGTGACTTAGTGAATTCAAGGCCAGCCTGAATTAAAAAATGAGACCCTGCCTCAAAAAAGAAAGAAAAAAAAAAATATATATATATATATAAATATATATATGGTCAGAATGTTATTTTGAAGAGAGTCTCCTCTTGGAATTATCTCCTTGGTCCTGAAAAGAGACCAGGTGGGAGACTCATCCATCCCCTGGCAGATGACTGGCACACTGTGAGCCCGTGGGGGGTTCAGGACTGGTTCCAGGCACGGTGATTCCACACAGACCTCATCAGGCACCTGCTTCATTGCTCAGGGAGAGGATAGACCACTTCCTTCACTGGGTTGAGTGAGCCCTGTGAATGCCCAGAACAGAACTGATATTAATAACAGACATCTATTAGACTCGTGTCTAATGTGTGCAGATAGGTTAGGGACCCCATAGTCTACATTTGAAGCCAGGCTCCACTCTTTGTGCCCTGTAACTTGAGCATGGTACGTAACCTCTTGCTTCTCTGAAACTGAAGATTAAAGCAATAGCTTCTGAAGGATTGAATGAATTTATGTAAGGTGTTTGGAATAATAACAGTTGTACAGAAAGCATTCCATTAGTTAGTATTACTAATTTTTTTTTCTGAGATAGGATCTTGTTCAGACTGGCCTTGAACTTGTGAGCCTCCTGTCTCAGACTCCCAGGTCAGTGTATTACAAGCATATGCCATCACACCTGACTAGTATTTTCTTACAATTAGAAATCAGGCTTCCCAAATATACATGTCGTATAGCCCCCACATCAAGTGGCCAGAAGAAACCTGACCTTGCAGAGGATTGCAATTCCATAGCAAAAAGCCTTCTCACAGGACCTCTTTCTGGACTTGTGTTTGGCCAAAGATTGTAGTGCATGTTAAAAGTCAGTATTTGTAACCCCAGGCTCAAATCCTCCCCTAGGAACTGACTGGATCTATAGGCTAAGTGGAAATGGGATGAAAGAAGGCAGCTGTATTTCATCTAACAAGAAAATACACCAAGGGGATATAGCTCAGTGGCATAAGCACCTGGCTGACAAGTGTGAGGTCATGAGTTCAATCCCTGGTACCAAAAAAAAAAAAAAAAGAAGAAGAAAAAACAACAAAATGTTGAATTTTATCTGGGTACAGTGGTGCATGCCTGTAATTCTGGCTGGTCAGGAGGCTGAGGCAGGAGGATCACAGTTGTAAGGCTAGCCTGGGCAATTTACCAAGATCTGGTCTCCAAAGAAAATTTAAAAAGAAAGAAAGAACTGAAAATGTAGCTCAGTGGTGGATACCATGTGCAAAAAAAGAAAAGAGAGAGATGTTCAATTTTGAGAACCAATACTGTGTTCACATAGGTGCCTTATCTTTTGCAGAAATAGAAAACTCTAGTGAAATAAATTCAAATAGAGCTCCCTGGAGAACTAGAATAGTTTTGTAATATCCATCTCTCAAATCTAAATTTTTATAGTGGTTCAAATGAGAGATTATGGACAGGGACACTGAAAACAGGCAGTGCCTACCTGCAGGAGACAAAGACAGCATGAGCCGGCTTTTCTCCAAGAGACCTTAAAGGCAGTTCTCATCCCTCTATCTGGCTATAGCTATTTGTATTCCTTTCATCAGAGCAAAACCAGGTTTCACTCTGACCTCTTATCCCAGCAATGCTTACACGATACACAGGCCAGGTATAACTACAGGGTGATACAGTTTCTAGTAGAAATAGTCCTGACTCCGTGGGACTTATGGTTTGGGAATGGGATTAAAAACAATCCTGTTTAATCGATATCACAATGCATTAGTTATGAAAGTACAACAATCTGTTGTAGATTAGGGACCGCTCTACCGAAGTAATTTGCAGGCTGGGGGACCTGTTGGATGAGCTTGTTAGGCTTAGGCAGATCATCCCAGGCAGAAGCAGCAGCGGGTTTGGAGGCACTGGCAAGGCAGGTAGAAGCTGAGATGGTGCCCAAGTCATCTGGGTGGGTTAAGTACTCAGTGAATGAAGACAGGGAGTTAGATTACATAGAATGCCCGCTCTGACACACCCAGAGCCTCAGTCTCGCTTCTGCTGGTGGCTGCCAAGTTGACCTTTGTCTATGCCAGCTCCCTGCTGAGCTCCAGACCACCGTGTCCAGTTGCCCAAAGGAGAGTTTGCTCAGACAAGAGGAGGCAGATGAATGGGCAGATGTGTAAGGGCCCTTCAGCTCTGGAATTATCTGGCTTTTGGAGCTGAAGAAAGGAAGGGTCACTCAGGAGGAATCAGAGTTGAGTTCAGTGTTAAGGGCTTTTCCTCTGAGAGCACTGGCTCTCTGAGTGAAATGGGTTTTTTCCAGCAGCTTACTTTCCTTGCTGTGGACTTTCCTGCCTGAAGATCAGACCGAGGGTGCAGATTGCATGTAACATTCCCTAGCGCTCTTCCCTGCTCCAGGGACCCTCCAAGAGTTGCATATACTTCAGTATCCTGTTCAGATCACAAAAATCAGTTGAACAAATTCAGAGGCAGTAAAACTGGCCTGCTGTCAGATCACCATGATTGGACCAGTGGCTACAAAGTCCATTCCCATTGGAATCTGGCCCCTGGAGAACCTCAGGCCCGCTCCCTTTCCATGCCCTCCTCACAATGGACTTGTATGCTTCACCTTGACCGCTCCTGTTTTACCACAGTGGGCCTTGCCACCTGGAGTCCCTTCCCTCAACGATCAGTGTTTATTATGTTGTGTACTAACCATCTGTGTGTTTCTTCCCACCACTTCCTTATTCTTTATGTCATATTAATCTCCAAGTCTGTAGCATCTGGCAGAAGTTTTCAATTGTCTTTATTTAATGAATCCATGAAATAGCAGCTACACACTCACGGGTCTGCGTGACCTTCCCAAACATACAATCACACCCACACACGGGGTCCCAGCCTGACCTAAGTAATTCCTTTCCTTTGTCCCACACGGCCTTGGCACAACTCCCCCTTCCTGTTTTCCTGGATAACCTGTTTTCGGCTCCTTCCTCTATGAGACTGGGCCTTTTGTGGTGTAAAAACCATGTTCTTCATCTCTATTCTTTAGCCCCTGGCACAATGCTCATAGGTTGCCAGAATGGAGAACTTGTTGGTGGAATACAGTAAAAAAGGAGAGAAAGACGAAAGAAAAGAGCCAGCTGGCTCCTTCTTCACTAAGTGCTTGTCACTGGCATCCCCACTTGTACAAGGAGTAACTGCATAAAATGATTCAGAGCTTTATCCTGAGTTGGACACAGGCGTACTAATGTCTCTTCAACACAGTGACCAAGGAGACAAGTAAAATGCTCCATCCGCCCGCACTGTTGTAGAGAGTCTTGCACCATTACAGTGCAGTTTAGGGACATGAATCCCCCTTCCAGTTTCACCATTTAGTAGCTGGGTCATCTTGAGCAACCCAGTCCGCCTGGTTGCTCATTTCCTCTTTGTTAAAATGGGTTGGATTGGGTGAACTTCGGAACTGCTTGCAGTTCTGACATTGTGTTGACTCACAGGACAGATAACATTTCTAGCATTTGAAACGTTACAAGTAGGAAAATCAGTTCTCAAATAAATGAAAGTTGTGGAATCCTCTGCTGTGACAGAGCCAGGAAGAACAAACCACCCTGAGCTTATACAACAGTTTGCTAACGAGAGCTCTTTGGAAGCATCAGCCTCCCCTGGAATTGCTAAGCCCAGAGCCTCAAAGTCAGAGTTGATTTTTGCTAATTGATTCTTGGTCTGGTGCCATTCTTCCTACCCAGGGGCAAAGGAGTTTAAGCTCATGCAGGCTTTGCTTTCAGATGTCTCTGGCCTCTTTCTCACCACTCTGTTTTAGTTTTACACTGAAAACAAAACAAACAAACAAAAAACATAGTGTTCACTTTGGCAGCACCTATACAAAAATAACAAATATTGTTGCATCCCTGGTATAAAGTTATAGTATCAAATGTGCTTATTCAGACTACTAAGTCCACTCACTTCTGCACAGCCCTTCCTTTCTCCAGAGATTCTTTGTGTGGCCGTAGGACCCTCATCCCTAGTTGAGAATCATCAGTCCACAGTATCATAGGGAAGCCTATTTGACCAACGTGGGGAAGCCAAGTCCTCTATTGTGTGTCTAGTTTTCATAAGCATTAGTAGCAGAGACAGCTTCTTAATCAAATAAACATCTACTGAACAGCTATCATGGAAAACTCTGTGGTCTAGTTCCTGTCCAAAAAGACTTTATTGCACATTTTTCAAACTATAACCATGTTCCAGTATCAGAGAGTAAAATCAGTGTAAAACAACTTTTCTTTTTTTATGCAGTAGAATAAAATTCACTCAAGCAGAGTGGAAGTAAACAGGAAAGTGGAAAAAACCATAACACCGCCCATACTTAAAGACAGTATTATGAATACAGATTTCATTTCAACCACGTATATGTCCATAATGAGGCATTGTAGAGAAATGTCTTTCTGATTTGGGGATTGTGGGGTGTTTGTCCTTAAAGTTTGAGAAATACTGCCTTACTGAATGTCAAGGAAGAAACATTGGATCCTGGGAAACATCACAGGACAAGGAGCAAATGGGGTGCTGGAGGAGTGCGTGAGTTGTTCAGAAGCTAAACACCATGGCCGGGAGTGCGATCTTAGGACAGAGACTCAGTGCACAGTGCTTTGGGGAGGAAGCGTCTGTGTGGGGAGAGCAAGGAGCTGAGTGTGAGAGGCTGGGAGGCTGTGAGAGTGAGGTGACAGTTAGGGAGAGGTGTAACTGGATCAAGCAATATTTCTGTTTAGTTTCTGGAAGAATCTCCATAATGATTTCTGTCGTAGTTATTCTAGTTGATATTGCCACCACTGATACAAGAAGATTCACTGTTGAACATATTCCAAAGGAGTTCAGGATTCCATCCATACTATAACGATAGATGTATGCCCATGTTGTTAGTGGCACCATGCACAGTCGCTAAGCTGTGGAAACAGCCTGGATGCCAGTCAACAAGTGAATGGAGGAAGAAAACATGGCAGTGGAGACACAGTGGAATGTAAGTCCACCCGTATAGGAAAATCAAAGCAGGTCGTTGGTAGAAGAATAAATAGAAGTAGCAAACGTGTTACCTGTAATTAGCCAGATTCAAAAACTTTAAAATTGCATGTTTTCTTCTTCTATGAGAAACCAAAAAATATATAATTTAATAAACAAATCAATAAAGGAGAGATAACAAGATACCAGGAGGTAGTCTTTTGGAGACAGGAAGGGCGATTAGCAGGGAGGAGGAGAAGGGGAGAGGGGTAGCAATGATATTGAAGATGATCACGATCCAGTGTCCCAATTTCCCAAAACAAACTCTGTAGATATATGGGGTTTTGCAGTTCAGGCTGGCCTCAAATTTAAAGTGATCCTCCTGCTTCAGCCTTCCAAATACTGGGATTACAGGCATGGGACACCAGGCTCAGCTTCCATGCTGTAATGCTAACATGCACTAACAAAAAAAATAAAAACAATGGAAAAGATGGCCTGGGGATGTACCCAGTGGAGCTCATGATTAGTGTGAGGTCCTGTGCTCAGTCCCCAACACCAAACCAAATAAAAAGCTAGGGAGGAGGCGCTGTGTCCTGGAGTATGTGTCAGCAGAGCTACCCTGGTTCCGCTTGGACTGCAGCCCTGTGCTAGTGTTTTGTGGCCTTTGAGTTCTGTGTGGTGGTTGTTGTTACTGTTGTATTTCTTCGTCTCCTCCCTTCTGACTTACTTTCTTCCTCTCGCTCTTTTGTCTTCCCTCTCCTCTTCCCCTTCTGCTTCTCCTCCACCTCCTCCTCTTCTCCCCGTTCCTCTTCATCTTTTTCCTGGCTCCTCTTGTATTCAGATGTTGGATCTCTGGTCTGGATCCTCTGATTTCTTTTCTCTTCTACGTTTTACCTCTTTTCTCAACTTGTTAGATTTCCTGCAACTTTATCTTCCAACCTTTCTGTAGAGATTTTCATTCTTCTTATTAGAATATTTTCATTTCTAAGGGCTCTTTTGATATCTAAATGCTCCATTTTATAACATCTCGGTATTTTCGGATGCAATGTCTTACCTCCCTGAGAAAATTATTTATAATAAGTGTTTTTCAGCTTCTGATGTCTCCATGTGCATAAGACCCGCAGAATCTGTTTCTTGTAGCCTTTCATGCTCAGGCCTGAGTCTCGCTGTCACCATCCCTGTTATGGACCATTGCTGCAGCACAGGCTGCTACTCTGTAGGTGTCAACACTGTGTCTCCTATACTTTTAGGAAAACATTTCCTATGAGGAAAGAGCCTGTGAAGGAGGGAAGTTTGCCACCGTGGAAGTGACAGATAAGCCCGTGGATGAGGCCCTCCGGGAAGCAATGCCCAAAGTCATGAAGTACGTGGGGGGCACCAACGACAAGGGTGAGTACCCTGGACAGGCCCTGGTCTGAGGAGGTAGCTTTGCAGAATCTCACTTCGTTTATAGGATGTTGCATGAACTAGTGGTACCGTATGAGCAGGGAGATCACCCCAGGAAACACTGAAAAGGCCACTCTGATGCCAGCCCAGGCTCCACTCACTTTAGGGAATCCCTGTTTGTATCATTCGGTTCATGGTTCGTTCCCAAGTATGGAGCCTTCTGCTGTCCATATATGTATTTTTTTTCTTTCTGTTTTTGACTGAACCCCAAGCCTTCACACTGAGCTATAGCCCAATGTCTTTCATTTTTTAATTTGAGACAAGGTTTTCACTAAGTTGCCCAGACTAGACTTGAACTTGTGATCCTTCTGCCTCAGCCACCGAGTGTGCTAGGATTACAGGCCTGAGTACCATACCCAGTTTGTTAATTGTTTTTCCCCGCTTTGGTTGATGGGGTAAAGTCATCCATGGTAAGCTGAGCTCCAGTGGAAAGCAAGGCTGACATCTGGCCAGGGTATGGAGGCTCAGTAAGCCTTGAGGGTTAAGATCCTAGGCTCTGTTCTGACAAATGAAGGGTATGAGAACTCTCAGGCCATCCCATTCCTAATGACTTGTCCATGTGACTGCTTCTCCATCTTTAAAATAACCAGCCTAAAGTTTCATGTAAGGTGTAACTGCTGGAGTAGAACCATATTTTTAAATACTGGCCTCTAAAGGAGCCCTCTTGATTTGTGCAGCATTTGGAATCATTGAAAACTAAATATGGGTCAGAAAAGCCAGGTTTAAAAAAAGCCCATTTAAAAAATTGGCTTAATTTTTAAGATATTTCTCAAGCTGATAATTTAGAAACTGGTATGAAACATAGTAATGTTTTCTAGGAGCAAAGTGACCAGACTTCGGAAAATAAGTTGACCAGTAGAAAGTCAAGAAGAAATCTTTTCCTCTTAATGCTGTTCAAAACATCTTTTTAGATGAAAATAAGTACAAAAATTATAATACTAAAGAATATTTTATAATAGTTATCACTAAACTATTTTAAGTGCAGTCATTGTTGTCTTTTGATATTCCCTTAGGGCTTTTTAATGTAATTTTTGTTATATATTTTGATTCTATTACTAATTATTTTCTACTAATACTAAGTAGTCATAAGAATAATTTAACTGTATCATATTGTTTGATGTGCCCATAATTTCTTAAAACATATTTCTGTTTTGAATAGAATAATAAGTTTTGCTGTACTAAAAGACCTATTACCTGTAGACTTTTCTGTATTTTATATTATTTCCTTTAAGTTGATTAGAATTTATATTTATACAGGAAGTAATTAGATACTGATATCTGCATTCTTAATATATATTGGCAAATAATTTTTTCAAGAATTGTACCACTCCTACCTCCCATGTATAAAAGTAAGAAGTGTTTTATATGCCTATGTCTATAGATATAGAGTTTAATTGATTTAGATAGAGTCGATATAGAGATCTAGAAATCTCTATTGAGATCTCTATAGAGATCTAGAGATTAATTGATTTTGTGATATAGATGTAGAGATTAATTGATTGATTTTGATTTGATATAGAGATAAATTGATTTTGTGATTCTAGAGATCGAAGCCAGGCTACATTCCTAGACTTTTAGTTTTTTTTGTTTGTTTGTTTTGTTTTTTTCTTTTTCATTGGTACCAGGGATCGAACTCATGACTGCCTGCTTGTAAGGCCGGCGCTTATGCCGCTGAGCTAAATCCCCAGCCCCAACTTTTAGTTTTTTGAGACAAGGTGTCTCTAGGTCACTAAGCTGTCCAGGCTCGGTTCTAACCTAGCATTCCTATCCCCCAGCCTCCCAGACCACTGCTATCACATCTAGCTTACCTATATATTTTTAGCACCTGTAAAATTCATTGTTAACTCCATGAACAACAAAGAAAAAGAGTCCCCATGGAAGAATGAGACCACTGTATCCTCCATGCCTGGAGCAAGCTGTGTCCCTGATACCCACTACACTCTTGTCTTTTCACGTTGTCAGGAATTGGGATGGGGATGACTGTCCCTATTTCCTTTGCCGTGTTCCCTAATGAAGATGGCTCCCTGCAGAAGAAACTGAAAGTCTGGTTCCGGATTCCGAACCAATTTCAAAGCAACCCACCCGTTCCCAGTGACGAAAGCATCAAGATTGAGGAGCGGGAGAGCATCACTGTCTATTCCACGTAAGGAGATGATTCCTTAGACGCCCATAAGCAGCCCTTGGTTCCCATAGCCTCTCCTGGAATCATCATCAGTGAGGTTTGCATTGGATTTTTGCTGCTGAAATTAATTCAAATAAGAAATACTGTATCTTGACAGTTATGCATGTTAATTTCATCAGACTGCAGCACACAAATATGTGCAGTATATCTGAATGAATGCCTTAGCCAGTTGCCAAATTGATCAGTAGATAAACTACCTCCTCTACTTAAGTTTAGGATGAATTCTTGCATTTGTTACAATGTATAGGATGCTGAGAGATGTATGGGACGCTCCAATAATGTCTAAGCCACGCTATAGCATAGTGTCACAAACACATGGAAATAGAAAAGATTGGGAAACACTTGATTTGCATGCCATGCTCCCTTGGAGTTCTAGAAAAGCAGAGGGCATTTGCCACAGCTGGGCTCCCACTCCTACCATTCTGCCTGGTTGTTCAAAGTCTATGGCCCTTTTAACAGAGCACACATCATTCCTATTGCCATTCTGGTCCTTTTTCCAGGCCCTCATTTGAAGGAATGCTCTGTTGATTATAGTGGCCAGTGCAGATTGTTGCAAGTTGTGTGTGCGCATGCATGTGTGTTTGGTTTGATTGTACTTGGAGTCACACTCGCCGGGGGCCTTACACTTGCTAGGCATACTGTAGCACTGAGCTACCTGGCCCTGTTGCATGTTTTTACTGTTTGGGCCCCAGGCTCCCCCTCAGATACCAAGTCTCTTCTAGATAATTAGTGATTTCCTATTTGTTAAACTCCTACTGTGTGACAGGTACCACACCAGCACAGGGGAAGTCCAGGACCCTTGGCATAGTAACTGTGGGTTGGGGTTTGGTTCTGCTCTTGGAAAACCTCATAGAATGAAACTACACAAATAATCTTGTACTGGACATTGCTTTGGTCCCCTCGGAAGAACCCTCCAAATTTGATCATTTGACTTTCCTGCTCCAACTCTGCTCTTGCAGTGAGGACAGGTTCCCTGAGGTCATGCCGCCTGTCCCTTGGAGTGTGAGCTTGTCTGTGTTCTTAGGCCAGTAGACCACAGAGCTCCCCTAGAGGTTAAAGAGTGTAATTCAGCTGCCATTGGAGCCTGCCGCTCTTGCACTTTGTTCTACTCCAGTCCTCTTTCAGGGTTCCCAGCCATCAGCACAGAGAGGCAGCAGAAAACTAGAGCAGGGACAAGGATAGGGAACTGGGGACCTGGGACTGAAAATTTAAGGAAGTACTTACTCTGACGGTCATCAGAGTGCAGGGTGGGCCCTGAGAATCAGTGCTTCCTTAAATCTTGCATCCTGGGTATCTGCTTATCTCGCCTTCATTTCTGCTCTGACCTTTCCATTCTACTTCCTGTTCTTTAAGAGGCAGCCCAGTGCCATATGATGAGTATTTTATGTGCAGTTTCCCAGCTCTGCTCTTTAGTACATGGTGTAATGTTTACCAAGCCTCTTTCAGGTTGTTTTGTTTTGTTTTTGAGATAGGGTCTCACTATGCAGTTCAGGCTGGCCTTGAGCTCACTATGGAGTCTAGACTGGCCTCAAACTCATGGCAATCTTCCTGCCTTTGCCTCCCGAGTGCTGGGATTCCAGTCTTGTACCACCACATCCAGTAACCAAGCCTCTTTAAGATTTAGTTGGCCCTTGCATAAAGTGCTGGTAATATAACCTACCTCATAGGATTATTATTAAGGAATAACAATAACATTAGTATAATAATATATAGCATTTATTATGCTATTTATAAATTAATGTTGCTGACCTGTGGTAGGTGTCAGTAATTACTCTTTCTCTTTCCCCTTATTTTTCATAAGGAGTGGGGTTCACACTATTATGTAAGTTCACGTAAGACCCCACACAGATGGGCCTGGCCTCTAATCATTTGTTCAATCAGATCCAGAGTAATGAGCTGTTACAATTGTTTTCTTTTTGTCTTTTAACTTTTTGTGTGGAAACTTTTAACTTTTAAAAAGGTAGAGAAAATAAGATAATGAAACCATATACCCATCATCCATCACTGATCTTTGATCAAGTTGGGGACAGTTTGTGTTCTGTATTGACATAGTACCACCCTGGATTATTTTTGGGTAAATTCCAGACATTGTATTATTTTGTTTATATTTTATTGTGACGACAGAAAAATGTTTTTAAAATATAATAATGTACTACCACTAAAATTTTAACAGTAACTTGTTGGTATGTTTGTAATATAAAATAGTCAGGGTTCTGGTTTCTCCTGTTATCTCACAGTTTATTTGCTTGAATCTAGATCCAAGTATAGGATTCATCATTGCAATTGGTCAGAACATTTTTAAGCCTTGGTATCTGTATCTTTCCCCACCACAGTGCTGGTTCACTTTCCTTGCAGGGTATGAATCTTTCATCCTTCTGTTTCCCACAGCCTAGATTTTGTTGACTACACTGGTGGCATGTCCTTTAACATGTCCTCCTCCACTACCTATAAACTTGTTCTTAGAACCAGAGACGAGTTCAGTTCAGATTTTAGAGATTGGAACAGAATATTTCCTAGGTGGCAGTGTGTGGGCCCATCCAGGATCCTAATGTCCAGTTGTCTTGTTCTTGTGATCTGAATAACTAGACATCATTTTGTTTTAGAGCTTGTACTAAAATAATAATGCTCTCTCTGTTTCCTCTTTCATTTATCAGTAAAGAGAGGTTTCTCCTAGATCTCCTGCTTGTTGTTCTGAGGTAGAGTCAGATAAAACAAAAGCAAGCTATAATCAGGAGTTTTGGCACACAATTATAATCCCAGCGGTCTGAGAGGCTGAAGCAGGAGATCACAGCATTAAACCCAAATTCAGCAATTTAGTGAATTAGTGAAACTCTGTCTCAAAAACTGTTTTTTGGGCTGGAGATTTAGCTCAGCGGCCTGGCTAAATTTTTTTAATTTTTAAAAGGCTGGTGACGTAGCTCAGTGTAAAGGCCTCAAGTTCAACCCCCAATACTGCAAAACAAAAAAGAAAAGAGGAAATAGAAAACAAGATACATGCTAATGCCTTCTCTTTTCTTACCATTTCTCAGAAAAATAATGTTATTTCTTGACATTTTCCAAAAGTGAGTAGACTTCACCTTTGTTTTTTTGAATATCAGCAGAAACATATGAATTTAAATATTCTCCATGTGTTTCCCTTTCTTTGCAATTTTTATTCTTACCGATGCTCAGATTGTCCCACCTTTGGCCAGTGGGAGCCTCTTCAGACTGATTTCTCAGTTATTTTGCCCTGACTTTGGTGAGCTGCTTTGCATGCAAGCACATCTTTAACTCTTTCTTGCTCTAGGGCTGGGATCAACTGTTTCTCTAACAAACCCCAGTTCCTTATGATGGGGAAAAAATATCTGTTTAAGAGATAAATTGACTTCTCTGAAATCTAAACAGCTGATAGTACTAAATTTGGTGTTTAGCCGGTTCTGTGAATTTTTTATTTTACCTATATACAATTTTAACTTTGTGTGTGGCAATTCCTCAACCAGCCACTTAGTGTCGCTGCATTGCCAAATGTGCATTTAAAAGTGCCCTACAGGAATTCGAGGTTTTTCTGATTCTATTGAAAGGAAGCATTAGTGAGATGTAGAAGACAACAGTACTGTTTCAAATATGAAAGTACATTTCAGATAACTTAGTACATTCAATGACAGAGCTAATTCTAAAATGAAAGTCTTGCATCCTTAATGCAGTCTTTTGTAGGGCCTTGTGGGAAAAAAAAGTCTGCAAAAATGTTGTATGTTGATTAGCAACATTAATTACCAACACATTTTAGAGATATAAAATGCTGTGGAAAATAGCACTGTCAGAATCCATGAAGGTTAGGACTTGACATTCAATACCGGGTTCTCAGCAGACCCGCAGCAGGAGAGGTTGGGTGGTTTTAGTGAAACTCACCATTTTAATGAGATGTGTGAGTGCAACAGAAAGTTGATATGAGGAGTTTATGATTGCAACTAACCACTTAATAGCAGTAAGAGCACTGGCATATTAGCAGGTAGGCTTCTTGGAGCCTCAGTTTCCTAATCTGCAAGGTGGGTAAGAGTGTATAACACATTAGATGAAATGGGATCAGATCTGTAAATGTCCACATAGTGCTAGGCATGAGTAGACGTTCAGAATATTTTAGCCTATTTTCTTCTTATTAATGTCACGTCCCTCTGAGATGTAAAGATTTATTACAAAAAAAAACAGCAACAACAAAGTCAAGGTTACAGTAGATGCACTTGGTTTCAACCCTCAGTTCTAATAATTATACTCTTTATAACTTTGGGCAACTTGTTTAATCTTTCAGTGCCTGTTCTCTTATCTATAAAAACAGGATTTACCAGGCATTGTTGTGAGCCCAGTGAAGTTATCCTTAGGAGAGAACCTGTTTAGCTGCAAGGACCTCGAATTTCAGTGTCACTTCTCCCTTTGAATAACTAGACCTTTGGGAAGTGTGACCTTGAAAAAGAGCTGTCTGGAAGGAGCCCATTCCCTAAACCTCTAAGGGTCACCATGTAAGAGATCTGCAGACCAGGGTAGGCCCAAGTTCCTAGCTAATTCCAACCCTAGTACTGCAGGGAGCTTGGACCAAGAGGTGACAATTGTATTCCGCACCTGCTTCTTTTGTTTCTCACTTCAAACTTCAGTGGGCCTCGCCTGTCAGAAAGAGAACCCTGTCCCTTTCTGCGCCTTTACCCTGGTTTGTTTTCCTTTGTATCACTGTTCTCCCTGGCATTGTATACCTGTCAGTTCACTTGTCTACCGCCCTCTCCCCAGTTAGGATGCAAGTTTGGGGGGGGGGGGGGGGGCCTTGGGCTGGAATCTAAAAAGTGCCCAGTAACTGAATGCTGGCCTTGGTCTTTCTTCTGCAGCACTCTGCCTCCCAGCTGTGTCCCCTAAAAGACATTGGTCCCCAACAGAACTTCACCTGTCACCCCTCTATTGGCATTGAGGTGATGGATGGTTTATCATTTCATCAAACT